TCAAAAAATCATTGCTTGTTTGGGTGCAGTAAAAACAGCATTGTATGTAACAGCAGCAGTTTATCTGAGAACAGAGCGATCCCTTAAAGGGAAACACACAGACCCCCCATTCGTCACAATTATAGCTTTTCAGATGGCTAAAGAGATTTCATCTGGGGCAATTTAGAGCGATTTGTATCACGATGGAATGATCTACCCGTCACCCCAATTTCCCCATAATGGCCAAAATTGGGTTCTTCTCTCCCAGCATACATTGCGAGGGACTGAGTGAGAAGAGGTGCAGGGTGAAGTACATCCAGCAGATGGCAGCGTTTCACTTTAAATCTCCTGCCGTTGCCAGTTTCTACCTGTATCTTTTAATGAGAGGAAGGACGCTGCTAAATTCCAATGTAGTGGCATTTTATTCTTATAAGAAGCTAATACGACTTCACCTGCCACTTTTGATTTATTCAATTAAGACATGAACTCAGCAGTGAGGTGTACCTGATCAGTCAACTCAATACCCAACCTCAGTGCACAGACATTGATACTTTTGTAAAAATGATAAATAATTGAAGATGAAGTTGCTCTTGCAGGAAGCGACAGTAAATTGAAGGGCTTGGGAAGTGATCCATGCAAGCATCTTCCTCACACACACACTCACACAGCATGCAGAGGCAATTAAGTCGTGCTGAACCGTGGTGAGTTCAGAATGACTCCAAAACTGGGTTAACAGCTGCCTGCATCCACTCTCAGAATGCTCAAACACACACACACACACATACACACTGCCTCCACCTACCGCCACCTCTCCATGCACAGACAATTGGCCTGGTTCTTCGAGTGGAAGACATGTCACACGGGGCACAGAGCACAGAGCTCCTGAGTAACAAGGCCCTGTGGGACATGGAGGGGCATGGTATACCTGCCAGAGTGAGTAATACTCTTCAGTAGTAAGTGTGTGTGTGTGTGCAGGCAGGAGAGGAGGAGGCTACAAAACATCTGTGCAAGAATGCCGTTAGCCTGACCTGCTCTCTCTCTCTGCAGCGAGATGTCTCCACTCCCACCCTCCCTCCCTGTGTCACACGCTTCTGTGCAGGGAGCTTATTGTCGTGACACTGTAATGAAGTACAAATGATTTCATTTGGGGGGAAAAGTGCCAAATCGTAGACCCCCCCCCCACCACCACCACCTCCTCCTCCCTCCTTTTTCCACAGACACACTATAACGCACCATATGGCAGCATGTCAGCCGAGATGAAAACATCTGGCAGCTTTCTATGTTCACATGGGCACAGATAGTCGACGCATGATGGGAGGAAAAAAAAAAACATAGCGAACATCATGCTTCCTCTTCAGGACCACGATGCAGCTGCTCAACTCAGAGCAGGGGGAAACAGTCTGACTCATCTTTACGGCTTCTTTCACCTGTGGGAAAGAAGGAAATATCTGGCTTTCTTTATTTTTCTGCAGCATGCTGATAGATACTCATTTAAGTTTTCTCACAGCACAAATGCATGTAATCCAAGAACATCAACAGGAACTACATTGAAAGAGAAGTTTGACATCTTAAGGAATACTCAGAGGAAATAAAAACAATCAAAGTTGTGGTCTTATGCAGGATAATGTGATTTTTTTTCTTCCTGAAAATCCAGTTGTGTCTGAGAAGTCAGTGCATCTGAACATTACAGCCCTGTAAAAAGAAAATCAACGCATGTGTTTAAAGGAAGAATGTGCAACATTTTATACATAAATAAAGCAGAAATCAAGTCTATCCTCCTCCCTGAGTCATGACTGTCTACAATGAGTGAGAAGAGAGAGTCGTGCTGGCTGTGTTGTTGTTGACATCGTGTTTACATGGACAGGACGGCCGGCTCCTCCCCTTGGGTACAAAAGCTGTTTTAGTCCAGGACTAGAGAAAAGAAGAAGAACATACTCACTACAGTCTGTGTACGTTTACATGCAATTGCAGCTCGAGCTAAATAGCAATTTTGTCCGCTTGAGCTAAACTCCTTCTTGTAAACCGGAGTGGAGAGGAGGGTTGGAGTTGTGTCGCTGCCGTAAGGGCCGAGGCTTCAGAACGGCGGAGGTGCAGCCAAACAGCAGATTGTTTTGGCGTCGCGCTGGAGCTCAAGGGCGACATCTACTGGATCACAAAAGTGACACATTCTTCCTTTAAAGCGTTAATACTCAGAGATATTCTGATGGCATTCACATCACACTCACCTGTATGAGAGGTCACTTCTAAATGGGCGTGTACCTTCAGATTTAAAGAATAACATCTAGATTTCTGTGAAGAAACACAAACAGGTACATGTACAGATACCAAACACTTCCCCTATGTCCATGGTGGGAACTCCACCGTACCGGGAATCATTTACAGGCATGAAGAGGCTAATGTCTAAATGTGTAGGTTCGCTTTTATGGCCCTGTATCACATGTTCTCCACTAGAAGGACATCCTAAAGTACTTTGCATCCCATTTTCTTGCACACTGATGCCCTTCATGTTTAATACATACCTCAGTTTCTTCCAAGGGGGCACTTCTGCGATGCATTCCTTTTTTCCTTCAAAGTGCACCAACACACCCCGACTAATACATGACCGACTTCTCATCCTATAAGAGGAACACGTTGGAGCTAATTAACACAGTCTGGCAGCATTTTTAAGATACCTCCCTGTGCGCCACTGGGATTTTTCTTCTTCTTCTCCTTCCAATACTGTTGCTTTGATCACAGCAAAAGAAGTAAGTGGCTTCACTATGGGCTGAACACTGAGAGGCAGGAGGGGGATAAGAAAAAAGGGACTGTTTATCTGCCTCTTAGCAGGAAAGGAGAAAAAACAAAAGGATTCTGCTTCTTAGAGACATTAGATGTAACAGTTTAAGTGAGCAAACTTGCCTTTTCGTTGAGTTTTTCCGACTGTGGAGCGTCTGCATCGTCACTTTTATTCAGTAAAACAAACTGACAGTTCAAAGGACTCCTACCACCGCATGTCTAAAGGCCCAGACACACCAAGGAGATCCTCGGACTAGATGGACCGTCGGTGAGCGGTCGTCGCCATAGTTTTTGCCGATTGTCCGGCTTGGTCACTACCCGTCTGCCTTTTTTTTTGGCTGATTCAACATGTTGTATCAGCATTGGCGGTCGGTGAGAGGAATCTCTCTGATTGGCTGTTTGGAGGTTTAATTTCTCTCCATCTCTCCTCACAGGTTCAGGAAAGTCCCTTGAGCATGCCGCTGTAGTATCCATGCTTTCACCCATTATTGTCGCCTTTTTCCACTAAGACCGTGGTCTTAGTGGAAAAAGAAAAGAAGAGGCGAAAATATTTCCTACTTTTTATCAGACATTATTCTCCATTAGTAGACTACCTATAATACGAGTGGTGACCGACAGCAGTGTGAAAATGGTCTTCTTGTATCATAACAACGGACTACTACCGCCTGCTAGCGTGGAGAGTTGGTGCTGGCATGAGCAGAACGTACGTGGTGGTTGGCCGTCAGCTGTAGTCTTTGCGTCGTGTTCAAGTGCAAATATTTAGCCAAGACAAACGGCGACGCCACAGCCTTTGTCGCCACTAGTTCTTTGCCATCTGCTTGGTGTGTCAGGGCCTTAAGACACCATTTAGTTTGTGTGGAGTTTTCATTCTGTAACACACATCGATCATATAAATGAATAGCTGCATCTTTCCATGTCCTGCTTTTGAGTGCACCGAGGTCAAACAACAATCACAACATGGCTGTTCTTCAACTGTGTCTCCGTGCATCGACTCTCTTGATTTAGTTTGATTCAGAAATGAGGCCGGGCCTTTTCAGTCAGAGTGGAGTAAGGAGACGTATTGATTGTTGATTCAAGGTTTTTTTTTTTTTTTTTTTTTTACGGGAGACGGCAGAGTTATGGGGGCCGCATCGGCTCCACGCCAGAATAACAGATCCGGGCATCGTCAGCAATCCGTACGGCTGCTCCATAAACAAAGTGACAAGGGTGGCGTTTTTCTGCAAACAAATACAGCGCCCTCTCTCTCTCGCTCGCTCGCTCGATCTCTCTCTGCACTCACACAGCACACACAAGACTGAGAAATCCCATAACCGTAAATGTGGTTTTATTAATAATAACAGTATCTCTTTTCATGAACATTTGCAGATACAGAATAGAAAATAAATCAGAAACAGGAGAGACGTCGTCTCAAGAGTCGTGAAAGTGCCTGGAATAATTCTGTGCTCTATATTGTCATTGTTATTCTTCATCATCGTCAAAGCCAAGTCGCCAGAACTCATCATGAAACTAAAATGTGTCGCCCTCATTAGAAAATGCAAACATTTGTATCCACACAGCCTCCTACAGCAGGATGTTCACTTTTTAACCCATTCCACATGTGAACCTCCAGTCGGGATTCTCCACTTTGACAGGCTTTGTGGGTAATGACCATCGGTTTTCATGAGTATGGCTCGATTGTCTTCATATTCATCACGTTATTGTTTCTGATTATATTTACACGACGACACTCCTCTGCTCGGAAATGTTGCCCTTAATCTGTCTTGATTTCATAAGGGGGTGGGGGGGGGGGGGTCGGATTAATTTGGTTCAATACAGGCCTGGTTAGTAACTGAATGCTTGATTTTAAAGATTTCTCATGACGAGGTATGCTGAGCGACAAAAAACTAAATGTGTCAACAAATCCAGGCCTGTTCAGAAACATTCGGTAAAAGTCAAATTGAAAACTTTTAAGATTACAAAAAGAAAACAAGGAGGGGGGGGGGGGGGCGAAATAACATAACTTTGTGTTTACACTTTGCATATTTTACGGCACTAAATGAAACACCTCCCCGTTATGAGATGCTTGCAGGTCTTTTAGTATGAGGTTAGTTTCTTTTCAAAGACTGTGGCACAGCTGCAGGAGGAGGAAGTACACCGGCTGCCGTCACAGGTCTGAGCGGATGTGTGAGTATAGCTCTTGTTTCTTAATGACTTGATGAGATCGTACCGGTGGTGAAGGAAGAAACCTCTGAGAGGGGAAGAAAAGATGAAGATGGTTCCCTGTAGCTCGCTTTGGTCTGACTTACTTGAAGTAACTCGTCTGATCTCAACATTAATTGGGTTTCATTCTAAAAGCCTACTGGTTAAGATGGTAATATATCCCATGATTACCAGTGGTCAGTCGCTCAAAGATACAACTGGTAACGTTATCTAAAACCACCATTAGTATCATCGAGTCAGCATCTGCTTTCAGGTTTTTCAGCAGCATGTTCGCCCGCCCAGCGTCAAATATGGCAGCCGAGTCAGAGGCCCGCTGCTTCAAAATATGACGCTGTAGGTACCACACTGGTGTCATTTCAAAACCCCCGTTCTCCTCCAGCTTTTCATTTTAATGAGAAGTTAAAGGCAGGCACTGAAAAATGTCGAATTACAAGAACGGTTTTGTGGAAAAGAACACGTCTGGTGCGAGTGTACCGTTTTTTAAAATACTGTGAAACTTCTAAAAAAAAAAAAAGAGTGAGAGATTCAAAATGTGATTTAAAGCCTCTCTCACTCTGTTACTGCGACACAGTGGGTCAACTTTAAAACCCGACAATGCACAACTTGTTTGAGATCAAAGGTAACATAACAGGTAGAAATGATGATTCAGGCTGGAGGGATGAAATAACTCAAGGGATATGGACCCAGAAGAACGGGATAGTGTAAGGGTACCTACATCGTCATATTTTGAAGCAACTCACCGAGCTGACAGCTTGGGGGTCGATTAAGATCTTGTTGGTGGTTTTATTCACATCTCGTCCTCACAGCGGTCAGAATCGGGCTGTGATGATAAACCTGAGAGCGTAACTGAACTGACCTGTTGGGAAACACATAACAAGCTGTCATTCAAGAGGACATGTAGGACACAGAGAGAACGTTTGAGACCTGGACGGCCTCGTTTGGTCCCACAGGAAACCGGGTGGAGTCAAAATGCTTCAGGTAACACTCACAGCTTCCCCTCTCCTCCATTTGTTCTGACATCATCAATAGAGCAGCTCCATCACCGTCCAATCAACTGAGACACCCGCCATAACTGTTAAATCAACAAAAACATGAGAAGCCCTCGGAGCTGCGACCCGTGTGGAGTTTGAAAATGTCAAAAGTCCTTTTTTTTTTTTGTTTTAAATCATGACAACACAAACTTTTTTTTTTCCTCTTGCGATATTAAGGGTAAGACATTTAGTGAATGAGCTGACCATTTTTTTTTTATGTGAGCTGTGCAGTTCCACATAACAAAACATGATTACGTCTCATGTCAGAGTTATAACGTCTCTAAGCAAATATCCCTCCGTTACAAAAATAGACTCTTCTTCTTTCATAAAATAATACACATCATTAATTTTTCGGTGATATATTCATCTGTTAAGGTAAATAGCAAGGCTGTTTTTTTGTCTTTTTTTTTTTTTCAAAGTAAAAGTTATCGTGTGAGAAACAGAGAGATGTGAAGCCTAGCACCATGTTCTTCAAACCCCCTCGTTACAGATTCCACTTCCCCCAATTCAGGAAATCAATCTCCTCTCGCTCTCTGGACGCCATGTTTTGCATAATCTGGTTGAGTCCAAATTCTCAACCCTTACAGAAGCCGCTGGAGATGAAATCCGAAAAACCGAATCGTCCTCCATCTCCGGCCAGCTGGATCTTCTACCCTCCCTGTTAAAACGTTATAAACTACACCAGCCAACAAATTAAGATAAAGGTAACAACGGTTTATCCCGAATAACATCTCACAGGCCAATGTCTTCACTTTTGCACAAACTGAAACCAAAGAAATCAAAAAGTTAAGAGTCCCAACTGATGTTAAAAGATAAACAAGAAACAAGTCCCAAACACTGATGCTACAAAGAATTAGAAAAACGTATGTACAGGACCCTGTATTCCTTGACTCTCTGGGTAAATGATCGTAGGTGTTGGCTTGTGTTACGTGAGTGTTTATACAGGCATACAAAAACAAGTTCTCCTCGCTTCTTTTGTCTTCTTCTTCAGTTTCAATGAAAGCTCTTATTGGACCAAAACTAAACTTTCTGCCACCGATGTGTCCAGCCGTGCCCGCCGCGCCCTCTTTGTCCTCCGGGTGTTTCCTGGTGCAAATTCAACAGCAGCGAGTAACGTTAGTGCCCTTCAGCGCCGCCTGGCTCTGGTGCGTTCAGGGTCCGAGTGCCAGTGGTGAGTCCTCCCTGTGACGGACATCTTTAAGATCCAGAGTTTACCCCGCACGGCTCAGTCTCTGTCACCAGATCACGCTGGATATACTGGTCTCTCTTGGCAGCAGCGGCAGCATGGCGTTGTTGCCGTGAGCCTCCTCTATACTCTGTTGTCGCGGCGACTTGGACTGCGGTCGCTGTCCGTTGATGAGCGTCATGGGGATGTTGCAGTAGGTGTGCTGGTTGCCTAGCGTGGAGAGCGGCGGGAGGGTGCCGCCAGGCGGCAGGTCGTAGTCGTAGCTACGGTAATAGTGTTTCTGCCTCATCTGGGTGTGGCAAGAGTTGTGGAAGGTGGAGCGCAAGTCCGGGTGTGTGGTCGCCATGGCGGTGGAGGTGGCCGCCGCCATGGAGATGGCCGAGACGGTCTGGAGCTCGCTGAAGGGGCCCTGCTCGCTGACATCCAGCACCTGCTCGTGGGAAATGCTGAGGGGCTCCATGCGCTTGAAGGGCATCTCGTAGAGCAGCTGCTTCCAGAACTTGGAGTTGAGCTTGTTGCTGGACGGCCCGCGCCACTTGATGACCGTCAGCATCTTGATGGTGTGTTTGAGGGCCTCCACTTCCTGGTAGTTCATGATGCCGCGCAGCTCGGCGCACTCGATGAGGATGACTTTGATCTCACCCGTCACCAGCATGTTGCGCAGCCGCGTTTCCAACTCAAAGATACTCCACCCCCTCCTCACCACATAGCTGGGCGTCATGACGATGATGAGGCGCTTGCTCTGATCCACACAGCGTGCAACGTCCTCGATGTACGCTGAACACACACACACACACACACAAAGGTAGAGAGATAGAGAACTTTGAATGAATATTTGCACAGTTTATTCTGCTTGTATGACTTTTAAATACTGAATGTGTGAGTTGTGTAAACTTAAGAGACAACTTTATGAAAGAACAAGTAAATAAATGAATCACACTAGCCTCAGGGCGATCGCTTTAAAAAAAAAGATTGAAACATCTGAATCCAATGAAGTGAAGAAATTCATCGAGAAAGAAAGATTGATGCTGCTTCTATCCAACATAATTTGAATTTGAAAACAAACACCGACACTAGCATAGTCAGGATTCAAACATTAGTATGAAATAGATATGGTCTAACTTCATTCAACATTTAGAGCTTCTGCAGACTTTTATTAAAAAAAACCTCAAAAAACAAGATGAAGGGGAGTATTTGGTTTAACTTTAAAATGAGGATAAACATAAAACACTTAAAAGCCAAGCAGGATACGATAAACGACCACAAATCAGTGGACACCCGCATTTAAGAGTTCAAATGTTTGAGTAGCAGCTGTTGATACAATCCAGCTCATATGCATGAAATCTTCATAAACAAAGAGTAAAGATGAGGTGTAACGAGCTCAGTGACTTTGAAAGGGACACTGTCAGAAACGCCTAAATCATGGGGGCGTCGGTAGCCGGGTGGTTAGTGCGTGCACCCCCGTTTACGGAGACAACATATCAAGGTGTGGTGAAAACTGTACCCTGCCAACAGATAGGTGAAGTATGCTACGGTTGCTATGTCCACTTACCCGATTACGGTCTTCTTAAAGCGGCAGAACACTAAGATTTTTGGGCAAACTGGACGACTTTTTTGGGGGTAACGGGCTCCGACTCTTCTCATGTGTTTGGGTCGATGTTGCTACCAACGCCGCAGAAAAACCTTGTACATAAGCAGCATGCCACATTGCTCTACTGGCTGGAGACTGAGAATAAAGTCAGTCTTCTGGGAAGAATGGCGGTGTCAAATAGGGGGCATACACCATATTTTAAGCCCCATGGATTCAGACTGAGATGATATATAAGGTGATGATAAGGTGTCCACTGACTTTTGGCCATATAGTGTATCAATGAGAACCTGAATGTGCATCTTAGCCTCTGAAGATGAAAGAAATGATAGTTTAGAGTAAATAAAACACATTGTTCATGTGTCTACAAAAGGAGCTCAGCTGGTTGGATTATAATGAATGTGATAAAGTGTTTCCCCAGGCCTATCCTGGTGTCAGCAGGAGGAAGTGTAATGTGTGTGTGTGTGTGTGTGTGTGTGTGTGAGCAGCTAATGCCTCCTTTTAGCCTTTCTTGGCGGAGACAAAGACAGAGTGGCTCTACGGCGGCGGCTAGACGGGATTAACTGGGCTTCACTTTCCAATCAAAGCTTACGACCCTCTTGTGTGTCTCAGTGAAGAGAAAACATATAGGGCCTATTTTTCTTCCTCCCCTTCTCTCCGCGAGGTCCTGAGTGTGTGTGTGTGTGTGTGTGTGTGTGTGTGTGTGTGAGAGAGGGAATATCTCGCTGGTCTTTTTAAGCAAACAAATGCCACATCTCCTCTTCGTATCTCGGAGAGGGAACTCCTTCTCTCATGTCACGCTCTGCCCAGAGGCAGACCTGATTAGAAGAAGACTTGGGTTTGAAGACCTTCGCTTCAACGTGACATGTCTTTGCTGTGCTGTGATTGGTCCTCGTGCGGTAATTCGTCACTGTGCATCTCCCTCGAGCTACCACTCCCCCCTTGTAGTCAGCGAGACTACTCAGTTTAGGTCAAACCAATCAGACAAAAACAAGTTTCTCTTTTATCTTAGCATGAATAAAAGAACCAGGAAGGGATGAATGGATACTATATAATTAGCTAATGAGTCCTAGTTTCATTTTATAGTTTTGAATTGATTAAAGGGAGAGTAAATCTGCCCTCTTCGGGGTGCTGTCTGCGAACACTTTATAGCTTTATAGATTGTATCCCCCCCCCTCAACGACCTCGCAAACTCCACAATCAAAGAGTTGCACGTGTAATAACTGATTCCTGTCGACATAAAAACAAAATCAAAGCTGAATAAGTCGAGGGAGGAAAAACAACTGTTGCCCTGCCCGCTACGGTTTCCAGTGTGTCTGTTAGTGGAGTTCCTAGAGGTGGGTGTGTTTCCTTGGACCAAAGGAAGTGCAGTGCTGAATGTGAAGTTTACATGAGCTTATACTGTTGCTAAAACATGCTGTGGCGACATACGATGGAACCAAAACCCACCGGAGAGACGAGACGAGCGGAAGAAGACTCGCCCGAGGAAATGGAATAAAGGGTGCCGAGTGGACTGGACGGGACACACTCGACATCCCTACCCCTACTTTTTCTAAATGGAGGCTAACTTGAGCAGTATTGCATTATCTTGTTTGCAACGCAGCAGACTGAGAATGATGACATTTACTGATTATCACTCAAAAACTATCAAGGTCATCTCTTTCTCCCAGTATTTCATCTGTGGTTTGACCCGCGTACTTCCGCTCTGACTGTGATTCAGCAGCTGTAACAATCCTCACTTTGAACAAGT